CGCCAATGCGCTTGGAATTTCCATTCCAGAGTGTTCATGGTGAGTCACCATCCCCTCCGGAATTTCTGTTTTTTTTTAAACCCTCATTTCCTAACCCTATTTTGCTACATGTAGCTGCTAAAAGGGTTCTCAGAGAAAAAAAACCCTTGTTCGAGCAGGGTATGAAGACTATTAACTGGTTTTCATTATTGCCAGCTCTGGTAGCATTTTATTGTTACATGTAGATTGTGTATTGGTAAATATGTTGTTTGTGTCATTTTATAGGTCATTGTGGAAAAAGCACCCAAAGCAAGGATTGGTGACCTAGATAAAAAGAAATATCTGGTTCCTTCAGATCTGACAGGTTGGGTAATCATTGATGTTAAAGTACTGACTTTCAAACTCACTGGAGCACTGCAAAGTACTCTTTACTTGATGCACAGTACTATTTAGTACATACAGTGGAAGCCCTCGTGAGCAGACACCCTCAGGATGCAAAATAGCTGTCCATAACTGGAGCTTGCCACTTATGGGAATAGTTCTCATAAGTGGCCACTAGAGTTGTAAGGGAAAGATGGCCTAGCTTGCAATAAATATTAGGAATGCAGAAATACCACCAAGTTTATTATTTTTTGTTGTTGTTTTACAATGTACCTCCTTTTGCTATGTCACGATAATGGTGGTAGTAGTATACTGCAGTACTAGGATGGGCCTTGGTGATAAAGAACAAATCATAATTGCAGCCAGCATTAACATTAACATTAACAGTCTCACTGCAGCAAAAAGCAGTTATACAAGTTACAAATGTTTATAAGCATTTTCATTGGCGGACAATTTTCCTGGGCCCTTGCCCATTGGGCCCATGAGAATGAAACGTCGCTTGCCTAGCAAGAAAATTGACTTGTCGTGGTTGAGAAGACCAGTGTTTCAGCCAGAAAATTTTACTCGAGGGCCAAAGTGGCCCCTGAAAATCTGTTTTAGGGGCCAATTTTTTAAGAAAAGGGGCCAATACATTGAAAGCTACAGAGGGGAAAAATGCATCAGGGTACCAAGGAAAATAAAGCAGTTTATTAGGATCTATGATAAAATTTAATAAGTGCTTTTTGAAGTGTTTCTTCTCAATAAAGTTTCTTTTGAATCAGATACTAGTATGAAGGATCCGTGCATTACAAGAGAACAATCCTTAG